GCGCTCCCGGGAGGACCTTTTGAGATCCTGGCGCTGCAATTATCTTCAACACCCAGAACCCTCCTCCTGCTCCTCCTCCTCCTCCACCTCCTCCCCCTCCTCCCCTTCCTCGTCCTCCTCGTCCTCCTCCTCCTCCTCCTCCTCCTCCTCCTCCTCTCCTCCTCCTCCTCCTCCTCCTCCTCCTCCTCGTCCCTTCCTCCTCCTCCTCCTCCTCCTCCTCCTCTCCCTTCCCTCCTCCTCCTCCTCCTCCTCCTCCTCCTCCTCCTCCTCCTCCTCCTCCTCCTCCTCCTCCTCCTCCTCCTCCTCCTCCTCCTCCTCCTCCTCCTCCTCCTCCTCCCCCTCCTCCTCCTCCTCGCGTTGCAAACAAATCACGGCGGGAGGTTCTTCGCCATTCTCGACCTCTGGGGGCCCTCCCCGGGCCTTGGGGCCGTCCCGAAGCGATGCAGGCTGAGAAGCCGGTCCCGGGGAAGGGGTCCAGACCCCTTCGGGGGTGGACAGACCTTCCTTTAGCAAAACGTGGTTTAGTGAAAACGACCTCGGGCCCAAACCTGGCGGGCGCAAGCCTGGGAAATAACGGCCACGGCGCCCTCTCGAGAACCGAAAACGGACAATTCACTAATCGACGTGTCAGGGTAGGAAGTCTGTCCCCTGGGGGTCGCGTCACGAGAAAACATCATGACGTCAGGGGTCTGGGCCACGGGCGTTCTCGCTGCATATTGCGGGCGCTGGGACCCTCACCCCTCGCGCAGGGCGATCCAGCTCGAGAAGTGACGCAGAAAGATCGGGTCTGGGGCTCCCGGCGTTTTTTTGGTGGCCAAGTTGCATTTTTTCTGCCACGGTGGATCTCCCCCCCCCCCGGCCACTCACCGAAACTGCCGTCGCCCGAAAGAGCACCAGCTATACGGCAGACCTGGCTCAACGATTCTGGCCAATTCAGCGGCCCCAGAGCCCTACCACTAACCGGGTCCCCTTCCCTCTTGGGGCGCTCTTGGGAGCCTTCGGGTCGCTTTTGGGGCCATCTTGGACGAGATCTATCAAAGAAGGTGGGGTCGTCAATTAGCCTTGCCCCTCCAGAGTGCCTCGAATCGCCTCTTGGGCCCCCTAGGAGGCCAACATCCTTCCAAAACCTAAGGGGAAATCCATGTCTTGTGCTTCCTCGCCTCTTCGCCCTGTGGGGTCCTGGCTACACCCGGCTCGGGGCAGAGGAGAGCCCCGCGCTGCCCAGAGAGCTGCAGCTGCTCCTCCACCGGAGCAGGCGCGGCGGCGCGCCGCGCCTGCCTAAGGTTACGTCGGGCGTGTCCCCCCCCCTACAGGGGGATTTTCGATGAAAAACAAAGAATACCCCAAAAAATTCGCCGGCCCAACGGGCCAGAGGCGTGCTAAGATCTCCGGTAACTGATTAACAATTCTCTAGTTCGCGCGCGCGGGGCGGCCCCTGGGGGTCCCCGGACGAAAAGTACCCCGGGCGATCCCCGACCGATCCATGGGAGACTCCCCCAGAGCGCTCCAGGAGCGCTCCAGGAGCGCACCAACAGGGCTCCGAGACGTCCCCGAGAGCCCCAAGAAAGGCCAAGAGGCCCCCAAGAGGCCCCCAAGATGGTACACGAGGGGTCCGACATGCCACAAGATCGCTCCAAGACGCCCAAGATAGCCCCCAGACGCCCCAAGAGGCCTCCAAGAGCACTCCCAAGAGGGCCCCAGGAGGCAAAATTCATTGCTTTTCCTTAGGTTTTTGAGAGATTTTGGAGCTTCCACCTTTTCGGCTTCCCGACGCCCCAAGACGGCCCAAGAGGCCCCCAAGATCGCCCCAAGAGGGCCCAAGAGGCCCCCAAGAGGGCCCCAAGATGGCCCAAGAGGGCTCGAAGACGGCCCAAGAAGCCTCCAAGACGGTCCAAGAGGGCCCCAAGAACGCCCCCAAAGGGGCCCCAGAGAGGGAACACGAAACAACATTTCGAGCCCTCGGCCCTAAGAAGCCCCTACGAGGCCCCAAGAGGCCCCTAAGAGGCCCCAAGAGGCCCCCACGAGGCCCTCAGGAGGCCCCCAAGAGTCCCCCAAGCGGCCCCAGGAGGCCCCCCAAATGCCCCCCCGAGCGCCCCAGGAGTCCCCCAAGCGGCCCCAGGAACCCCCAAAGCGCCGCATTGACACCAGGCCCTCGGGCAAACGGCAGACATGAGACTGTATGGGCCGGCGGAATAAGCGAAGCGATTAAATAACCCAGACTATGGTTTGACTATTTTTGAGCATTCCCCCTGTAGAGGGACAGGCCCGACTTAAGCCTCAGGTTTGTGTTTCTCTTCTCGCGCGGCCGGCGGCCCACCGCTGCGGCTGGCGAGTCTTACCCTCCCTCCCCGTTGCCAGCTGCGGGAGGCCGTCCTGGGTCTGCCTGGCGCCTGCTCGGCGGCGCGCAGAGGGGGGTCGAGTTATGTCGGGCGTATCCCCCTACAGGGCGATTTTCGACGAACAAAAAAAAAGGTCAAAAAATACTCAAAAAGTAGTCCCC